CCCCCCCTCATAGAATAAAATAGTTAAAGGCACATAATTTACACAGGACAATGATGTTACTCTATGATAGTAAAATCACTGATTTCCTTCTCTACCTTCTTAGTGGAAGCACTAAGCTACAAATTACTTGAAGGTTAGACCCAACTTAACTCATATTTGATTTCTAACTATTTGATTCTATTAAGGAAAACAATATTGATGGGGGAAATTATAATTTTATTGTAGTTAAGAGTTTTTTCAAGAGTCCTTATATTTTAGAAAACATTCTAAAGTAGTTACAGGTTAAATCATGTTACATGCTTCAGAATAATATTGGAATAGGGAGGAGAGTAGTGGTGGCAAGTGACTAGGGGCAGCAGACATAGGCTGATGGTTTTGAGGGTTGGTGATGGGCAAACAGAGACACATTAATAATATCTGTAGACGTGCCTTATGCAGACATTCACCATAATGGACAGCTTTTTTTTGTTTTTATGAACATTTGAAATTCTCATTGTCTTTTCAAGTCAATAACACATGCTAAACCTGTCCGATAACTGAATGAATCAGAACTACAGTGAGTGTTCTCTGGTTTTATGGTCATGAAGTTGTAGAGGGTAGGACTCCGGAGTTTGGAGGAACCATGGAAGTAGTCCAGTCCAAGAAACAGAGGACTTAGTCAATTTTTGATTTATTCTTTCTACAAGTACTACTTGACTGCTAACCAGAAGCTGGCGGTTCAAACCCACCAGCCACTCCTCGGAAGGAAGGTTGGGCAATCCTACGTCCGTAGTGATACTGCCTCAGAAACCCAAGGAGGTGTCGCTGTGAGTCAGGGCTGACTCGACGGCACATAACAACAACAAGTACTATCAGGGATGACTTCTATACTATCAAAAAAAAAAAAAAAGATCAAATGTGTAAATACTTCCTAAAATGGATAGTAAATTGAGAGAGTTAAAGAAAGCAACACAGAAAAGCTAAAAAAAAAGAAAGAAAGAAAGAAAAATACTAGATAAAATAAGAAAGTGGTTAAATAAATTATAGTATATGTATCCTATCATCAAAAATTATGATATACCTTTTCGGGTTTTTTGGTATGGTCACATAGGATACTGTTTATAGTCTGCTGTTAAATAAATAAACAGTTCAAAACCAAATAATGTATAATGCCATTCTAAGTTTTTAAAAATCTATATATAGCACATACATCACATTATTGGCATGGGTTATTTAACGTGCTGGGACTATGGATGCGTACAGTTTACTTTTTACTGTTCTACCATTTGTAAAATCTTGGCAACAAAGATCATTTCTGTAACAACAACAAAGCTCCTAAAAATAGCAAATAATTGCAGAGTCAGGGTTGTCAGTTACACCAAGAAATGTCAGCATGTACTTGAACCAGTCTGGATCAGAGGAGGTTCCCTTTCTCAGGGGGTCCTGTACCTTTCAGGAAGGAACTTCTCAGGCTCTGGCCAGAGTTCTGGGTCTCGGTGAAGAACATAGACTGGCACCATCACCGATGCTCCTTTGGGAATGAACACTCCATTGATTTCAACATCTTTCTTACAGACCCTCTCAAGTCTGGGAGCGACTGGAAATAATCTCAGTGTTTCATTCACCACCATGTCAAGATACTCCATCTGTACCACAGTGTCATAAGTGGGAGGTGCCTGGGAAGAAACAGAGTTTGAAAAGCTGAGATACAACATAGTCTATGCAGTACCATAGAAGTATTAGGATCTGTAAAGAATAACTTACATTGCCAAAGGACCTTAAAAATCTAAAACCAAACTCACTGCCATCAAGTCATTTCTGACTCATAGCAACCCCCTTTGGGTTTCCAAGGCGACAAATCTTTACGGAAGTAGATTGTCCAGTCTTCCTTCTGTGGAGTGGCTTGTGGGTTTGAACCGCCAGCCTTCTGGTTAGCAGTCAAGTGCCTTAGGCACTATGCTACCAGAGTTCCTAAAGGATTCCAACTTTGCAGAGATCTGCAAACAATGTGGGCAACATGAGGCTTTCACTTGGGGCTGCTTTTCAGAGACAGTGTTGTAGAGGTTACGACACTGGCTCAGGAACCAAGCATGCTGGAACATAATTTGCCTTCTCCACCACTTGCTGCATGACCCTGGAAGTTTTCTGATATGCCCGTGGAGATAATTATAGTCATAACTCATAGTTCTGTTGTACGTAGAGTCACTGTGAGTCAGAACCAAGTCAACAGCAACTGACTACAACAACAACTTCATAAGGTTGTGTGGTAGACATTCACTACTCACTAAATATCATTGAGTTTCCTACATTTCCCAGCCTTTTTGCTGTTAAAGGAAGCCAAGTTATTAGCTTTACAAATGGGCTGGACTGAAGTGATGTCAATTTTTGGACAAAGGATTTTGGGAGTCACTATGCAGCACTTTAGCTCATTATCCCCAGCCTGGTTCACCATGATGTCTTCACGTTCCTGATAGTGCCAGTGCAAGATGGTGGTGAAAGAATCAACACTTACCCTTTTTGCAAAATCTCTACAAAGGTGATGGGAAGGCATTCTTGCTCCACCTTTGCCATCTCACTTCCTGCATTAGTCACTCACTCACCTTATTGGGCAAAGCCTCATCAATCTCCTTTTGAAGCTTCTGCTGAATATCAGGATGTGTGGCCAATAGATACATAAGGAAGGAAAGAGTAGTGCTAGTGGTCTCGTAGCCAGCAAAAATAAAGATAATTGACTGAGCTACCAGCTCCGTGTCAGTCAAAGCTGAAAGAAAAGGAAAGCTGCTTCAGGTGAATCTTGTCAAGGTGAAGATACCACCAATTAGAGGATGAAAAGCACAAATGAAATTCCCAAATCCCCACTGGAAAATTCAGAGTAAAACTGGGAATTGGTTGCATTCTGATATCTATCTGACAGAGCAGGTTAAAGAAAAAAATCTGATTTTCCCAGGGCTTGTACTATACTTGAACTTCTGCTTGTGGTTATGCCATCTTCACAACCAACAAAGCTGGGTAATTTCAAGAGATAGCACTTCCGTCTAATGTACAAAGTGTTATTGATATGACCCTTGGAGAATCCTAACAGTATTTTAGTTACAGTAAAAATATTGGGGACCATTCTCCCCCAAGACAAATTTAAATTATTCTAGCTAAAGTATATCTTAAATTTCTTTAAGGAGTTTGCAATACTATAGCTTCATTGTAGGGAGAATTAAAAGAATTTTCATCTAGGGTCTCTCCTCGTCCAGAGCAAAGAAGAATGAAGAAAAACAAAGATCCATGGAAAGAATTAGTCCTAGCAACTGGTACACCATGCGATCCTCAGTCTATGTGACTGAGACCAGAAGAACTAGATGGTGCCCAGCTACCACTGTCAACCACTTGGAGGGGGATCAAGGTAGGAAATCCTGGATAGAGAGGAAGAACAATGTGGAACAAAACTCAAAATAATTTGGAAAAAAAAGGGGGGGGCAGGGACCAGGTTTGCTGGTCTGATACAGCCTAGTGGAACCACTGAGACTATGGCCCCTAGCTGCCCTTCAGGTCTGGAAATAAACCCACACCTGTGGCTTCCAGCCAAGCAAAAGACAGGCATAGGAGTTGAACGTTTACTTGAGGTAGATACACCCTTTGGAGAGAACAGTCATGGGAGAAAGAAGGGTGGGTATACACAGGGAGACAGTTCAGGGGGCAAGGGGTGCATGGAAGGATATACACAGGGAAGAGGTGACTGTCAGGAGGAGTTGGGGGGGGGAGCTGTTGCATTGTGGTAAATTGTGGTCAATGTCATGAGACAAAGTGTCTGTGAACTGCTGTATGGAAAGTGAATTTGCTCTGTAAATTTTCACCCAAATCACAATAATAAAAATACAAAATAAATATAGATGCATAAAAAGAATTTTCATCTAAACACATTTAGGGAAATTTAAGGGAACAGTATTGGGCTACAGACAAAGTCTTGCTACTCAAAGTGTGGTCCACAGACCAGCAGTGCCAACATCACATGGAAGTTTTATGTGAGGCAGAATCTCACACCCCACCTAAAAACTACTGAATCCAAATCTGCATTTTAACATAGCCCCCAGGTCATTAGTGTATACAGTCTAGCTTGTGGATTATACCATTGGATGATACCATTGAGAGGCATCAGGTAATAGAAGAATGAAGGTACAAGTCTTCAGAAAGGATGACCACAAGTATGCATAGGAACTAGAGAGATAGGGAAAAAGCTGGAATGCTGAGGACCGGCCTTGTGAAGTGAGGAATCAATCACCTGGTAGAAAGCAATCTGAACATTAGGCTTGGTTCCCAAGAGCGGGACCACACCTGAGCCTGAAGAAAGGAGGGTGAATAGACCAAGATAGACCATTCAGGGGCCTGATGTTGACTAGCCACAGGAGGTATAATGTAATCTATCATACCCACATAAAGAACAAACTCACTGCCATCGAGTTGATTTGGCTCATAGCGACCCTTCCTTGGGTTTCCAAGGCAGCATCACTACAGAAGTAGATTGCCCAACCTTCCTTCCAAGGAGTGGCCTTGAGTTTGAACCGCCAGCTTTCTGGTTAGCAGTCAAGTGCCTTAAGCACCGCACCACCAGAGCTCCTATCATACCCACCTGCAGAGGCCAATACCAGCCCTGAAAACAGAGGCTCAAGAAAGGAGGAGCAATTTGTTGCGAGGGTTGATGTTTGTCACCGACAAAGGAATTATGATACTAAGGATTTAATAACCATTGATATATGCAGGAAAATAATGCAATTACACATTTCTGGAAAGTGTTGTCCTCGCTGGTTACAGAAATTTACCAAGTGTCTTTAATTAAGTCAGTTCTCAATGAGACACATAGTGTGGTAATTTTCTGAATGAAAATACACAGTTTGTTTTTAATGTTTAATTTACTCTGCCAACATGGTGGTTGGGGTGAGGATGACCTGCTGCAACTGGACGAGGTCTTGGCAAGCAAGTCCAATGTGCAGCAGGTTAGGTCTCTCCGGACTAGAGACCTATCATGTGTCTAGACTCCACTGAGTCTTGAGAAAAAAAAAAAAAAAAACCTCAAAAGAGTTGCCATTAAGTCAGTTCTGACTCACGGAGACCCAATGAGTTGCAGAGTAGAACCACGCTCCACAGGGTTTTCATGGCTGTGAGCGTTCTCAGTGATGTGTCTATATATTTTATTTTCTTAATTTTGTCCATGAGAGAATCTAAGGGCAGAGAAACCTCAGTAGCAATGAGCACACCTAAGTCATAAATTTTGGTTTCTAAATACTGTTTCCTAAAAAAAGAAACTAGAGCTTCTTGGAGAAATGACTGATTTCAAGGAACATCAGGTGAAACAGAAGGGAAAGCTGAAATATCTTCTGCTTGAAAGCAAGGAAGTACTCAGAAAATGAAGGCCATGGGGAAAAGACCCAGGAATCACTTTGAAAGACCTTCCACTGAACAAACCTGAGACAGCTGGAGCATCAAAATAAGTCAGGAGAGTGTGAGACTAAATTAACACCCCATGAGCTCATACAGATGTCAATAAATACGTGAGAAAAAACGTAAAGTTCTCCCTTACAGAGGATACCAACCCATAAATACAGAAGAAAGGACAGAAAGATAAAACCACCATTTTGAAACCACCATACAAATGATTGTGCCAGTTCATAATCAATGGATAATAAACCTGATAGGTGAACGTTGGAAGAGAGACAAATAATTACACAGCCTCAAAAGTTCCCCTGATAAATTACTTCTTAATGACAAACAAAACTTTGCAACAGATTAAACTAGTAAGCAATCAAGAAATTAGATGTCTTCTGCAAAACTCTTTATAGTATTAAGGAACAAAGATGTCACTTTGAGGACTAAGGTGTACCTAATCCAAACCATAGGTGCTCTGGGTGGCATAGTGCCTAAGGCACTTGACTGCTAACCAGAAGGCTGGCCGTTCAAACCCACCAGCCACTCCTGGGAAGGAAGGTTGAGCAATCTACTTCCATAGTGATGTTGTTATGTGCCATCGAGTCGGACCCGACTCATAGCGACCCCTCCTTGGGTTTCCAAGGCAGTATCACTACAGACGTAGAACCATAGGGTCACTGTGAGCTGGAATTGACTCAACAGCACATAACAACAAAAACTAGTAAACAAGCTTAACTTAGAGTCTCCAGTTGGCATAACCATTATTAGGACAAGGTACTCCCTGATGTGAGGACTTGCTGTAAATTTCCAGGCAGGAGATCTGACTCAGGGGTTCTGGGAGCAGCCTGGAAATCTGCTTTAGAAATGGGCTCCCCTGGGGTTCTGATGGAGGTGATCCATAGAACACTGACTGACTTCTGTGCACAAAATGTATGTTTTATGGTTGTCCTTCAATCTCTGAACAAAGTTACGCCTACCGCTTCTGGATAGTGCCTCTGACTGTCATTTATAATTTCTGAATGTGTCTCTTTCTTTAATTGGGCAGAAATTCTCACATGCCTGAAAACTTCCTGCACATTTTCAGAATCACCCCTCTCCTCTGAGCTCCCACCACCGCCATCAGTAGCCCTTCCAGTCACTCTCTTGGTTACCTTTATGGGACTCAGTGTCTTTGGAATTCTGGGAGTCAATCATCAGCTGAAGAAGATCCATTCGGTGCTGGAAACAGAGAGAGAAATTCCCGTGACACCAAGCCCAGTGTTTGACATCTCTCCTGAGAATATGACCCCTTTGCATCCATGAAGTCAGACTGGTATTGCCCAAGTCACCAGTGAACAGAAGCATCCATCTACATATGTTTAAGAGCAAGATGTTTCCCTGGGAGAAAGCCAGCAGCCATATCTTACTGCCTTTGGGACCATGCTTTCCGTGATCATTGGCTTCCTTGACCTTTGAACACAGCTTCTTGGCCAAAAAGGTGCCTGTTCCTTCTCTTGACATACGTTCTTGCTCAAGAGAAGAACCCTGACTTGAATCTTTTTGTTCTGGCTTAATTCCATGCCCTCACCTCACCTTATGTTACTTCTTGTTAGCCAGTGGCCACACAGATTAAATCCTGACATTTCTGAGCTCATCTGTGGCTGTCTATGAGTATCTTCCAGGACCCTAGCCTTCCACAACCCTGCACAGTCATCAGGGACCCCTTGGAGTATACAGACCTGCCTCCTTGACCCGAAAGCATCTTTGTGCTGGTCTCTGGACCTCATGAAGGCAAAGGTAAGTTAGCCACATTGTTGCCTTAATGTCCAGAGAAGACTTCTTCCCTTTCCAGACTGTGAGAGAGCTGAAATTTAACGTGGATGATATTCTGCCAGGTCACCTGAGGTGCCTCCCATTGGAGAATGTGTAAAATATGAGGCTTGGAACTGAAACCATTGCTCACCAATCAAGAAAAGGAACAATTATGATACCAGTAAATCAATATTTCAATGGTAATTTTTACCACTTGATGAAATAATGAACAGAAGGGAAATGATAAAATGTTTATCTCAGTAGTATTGATGCACTAACATATTCATTATCATGCCTGTTATTAAATTTTAAACCCTGTGTCTGTGGCCCATTCTTTATCTCCTTCCCTAATCTTCACATTCTCCATTTCTCCCAAAATGTAAAAACTCTTGCTCTAAACCCTAGAGTTCTCTACATGCCTCGCTGGAAAATGCAGATGTGTATGCACATCATATGTATCGATTTCAACACATCATCCAAAAGTGAGCACGAACATGCCCACGCATCTACCACCTGATCTTACCTTTTGCTTTTCTTTAAGGCGCTGTTCTTTCATTCTTTGCACAGATTTTGTGAGAAAGTCAGTAGTATCTTTTGGAAACAGAGAGATGCTTAAAGCTTCAAGAATTGGTGTAAGAAATGGGAACATTACTGGAGGAAAAAGAAAAGAAAAGAAATCATAATGAAGATGCTCATTTCTCTGGAACAATTTTGACTTGCTCTACCAATCAGAAGAATAAGAGACCAGGATTCTCAACCAGGAGCCATTCCCTCTGTGGGCTTCCAGGCCAGTGGCTGAGAACAGTGGCACCTTCCTCATCATTGCGCTGAGCAAAGACACACGATTAACCATCCTGAGCTCTTTGTCTTTTAGGAACTGGACTAGACGATCTTGAGGTAAACCAGACCATAGTCTACTTCTTCAGTTAATCGTACTTCTCGAGAAATAATAGTTAAAAAGTAAAAAGTATGGAAATTAAATTAGAAATCAACAAAATAGAGAAAATTAGGACACTCACAATACGCAGACACTGAGCCACACTTTCCTAAATAATCGGTCATGGAGGAAATTAAAAACGATTTTGAGATAAATTGAAAATGAAGATGCAATGAATTAAACCTTGGGTGATACAGCTAAAGCAGTGGTTAGGTGGAAACTGAAGCTGTAAACGTCTGCATTAAATATAAGAAAAATTCCAAATCCATAGCTTAAACTTCTACCCTAAGAAGAAGAGCAAAATATGTGTGAAAGAAAAGGAGAAGACAGGACGATAAAGATTAGAGAAAAATCAATGACACAGAGAATAGAAAACTATATAGAAAATCAATGAAACCAAAAGATCATATCTTTAAAAAGATCATCAATATTGGGGAAACTTCAGAATATTGACCAAGAAAAAAGATAGAAGACTCAAATTATTAGCATCAGATATGAAAAAGGAGAGATTACCATGAACATACAGGAATTAAAAGGAATACAAAGACATACTGTGTACAATTTGGAGGTCAATAAATTAGATGAAATAGCTAAATGAACACGTTTGTACCCACCAAGAAAAACCCAGGACCAGACAGCTTCACCAAATAGTAGCGAATCTACCAGATATTTAAAGAATCAATATCAATTCTTTACAGACAATAGGAGAGAGAACACTTCTTAACTCGTTCTATGAGACCACAATTACCATTCTATCAAAACCAGAAAAACATCACAAGAAAAGAAAACTTTGAAAAAAAGAACAAAGATGGAGAATTCACATGTCCTGATTTTAAAACTGACTACAAACTTAACATAGCTAAGTTACTTAGCTAAAGTAATGAAGGCATTGTGGTACAGGCCTAAGGACAGACATACAAATCAATGGGATACAACCAGGAGTCCAGAAATAAACCCATGTCTCTGTGATCAACTGATTGTTGACAAGGATGCCAAGACCATGCAGTGGGGAAACAAGAGTCCCTTCACCAGATGGTGCTGGAACAACTGGCCAACCACGTGCAAAAGATTGACATTGGACCCTTACCTCACACCATGTACAAAAATACACTCAAAATGGATTGAAGATCTAAACGTTAGAGATCAAACTCTTGTGAGAAAACACAGATGAATTTCTGTTACCTCCGATTTGGCAATGGAATCAGGACACCAACGCATAAGCAACAAAAGAAAAAATAGATCAATCAGACTTCATCAAAATTAAAAACTACTTTTGTGCTTCAAAGGACACGGCCAAAAAAGTGAAAGCTAACCTACAAATGGCATAAAAAGTTTGCAAAACATGTCTCTGATAAGGACTTATATCTAGAATATACATATTATATATATATATATATGTATATGTATATGTATGTATATATCATACAACTAAATAACAAAAAGACACCATCTATTAGTGATCAAAGGACATGCGTAGACATTTCTTCAAAGATATACAAATGGCCACAAACACACTAAAAATGTATGACAGTATTGTTGTTTGTCGTTGTTATGTGCCGTTGAGTCAGACCTGACTCATAGTGACCCCTCCTTGGGTTTCCGAAGCAGTATCAGTACAGAAGTAGATCGCCCCATCTTCCCTCCAATGACAGTATTAGTCAAATAAAAATCACATGAGATATTACTTCTATCCACTAGAATAGGTATGATCAAAAACATCAAAATAAGTAGCAAGTGGCAGAAAGGATGTGGGGAAATTGGAACTTGTGTACTCTGTTAATGATACTGTAAAATGGGGCAACATCTGTGGAAAACAGTTTGGCAGTTCCTTAGTAAGCTAAACACAGAATCACTATGGGAGCTGGCAATTCCACTGGTGGCGAAAGAATTGACATCTACACAAAGACTTGTATATGAATATTTAGAGCAGCAATATTAGAAATAGTCAAAGACCAAGAAGGACACAAAATATCCATCACCTGAAGAACTGATTAATAAAACATAATATGTTAAGGGAATATTATTTGGCCACCAAAAGGAATGAAGTGTCAATAAATGCTACAACATGGATGAACCTTGCAAACAGTATGCTAAGTCAATGAAGCCAGTCACAAACGACCACATATCGTTTGATTCCACTTAAATAGAATATTCAGAGCAGGGACATGTGCAGAGACAGATAGTAGATTAATGGATGCTTAGGGATGCAGGATGAGGAGGAATTAGGAAATGGTGGGGGTGAAAGGTAATGGGTGTGAGGTTTCTTCTTGAGTTGATGAAAATATTCTAAATATGACCGTGGTGATGATTGCACACTTCTGAAAATACTAAAAACCACTAATTGTGCACTTCAAATAGATGTGTTGTATGGTATGTGAATTACATCTCAGTAAAGCTGTTATAAAAACAAAAACACAGTAGTCTACATACTTATTGAGAACATCAGTGGGTCCAGGAAATCGAATTTTATGAGCTTCCTGACTTTTTGCACAAAGGGATCTTGTGGGTTGTTGAGGGAATCAATGTTCACTCCAAATGATGTGCCAGTGATGACATCCATGCTGTAGGCCCCAAATATGCTAAGTAGAGAAAGAAGGACAGGGACATTTCAAATCTGCATCTCTTCACTCTCTGCAACACATTCAGCTAGAGTACACGTGCATCCATATGTCCAAGGAAAGGCAGATAAAGAGACACTCGTTCAAAATCATCTGCTGGATCAGCTGAGGGTCTTCGTGTCCATCACACTCTGCATGAGGCATTTGTCAAGTGCCAGTGATAGCTGTCCCCGGGCTAGGGGTGACAGCTACACAGTCATGTATTAGACCCAGCTCTGAGCTGTTGGAGCAGTCATGGAAGGATACAGACCCACAGATGAGACAAACTACAGCAGTGAGTGTTGAGTGTGGAGGTTGGTGGGTGTTAAGAGCATTGCTGAAATGGAACAAAGAAGAGACTCATGAATCCTTCCTAACAAGGTCCACAAAGGTGACATTGGATATGAGTCTTACCTCCTAACCATGTCTATGCCAACAGCAAAATAATCTATAGCAGTTTGCTGGTATCCTCAAGCAAATTCATGAGTAAGTCTAAGTTGTTCCAAGTTCTACATCTGACCTTTCTTGCTTCTACCAATGCCAGCCAATAAGCACCAAATACCTTTCCACTTCCACCGTTCCATTACACTCAAGACTTTTAGTACTATCGATCACGTCTCTTCTTTCTAAAACTCTTTTTTTGTCTTCAAGAAAAATGTATCTCAAAATCAAGCAGATAAATGAATCCCAGCTCGTGTTCACAGGCGGGAAGACCCTTTGTCCCTGGCTGCCCTGCCATTTAGTGTGAGCCACATTTCTTGGGTAGCCCGCTGGAGTTTTAACGTGACACATTTGTGTTTGTTTGATCCACTAAAGGAACTCTCAACTTTGGGAATTTCAACTTAGTGGGAGGCAGCAAGAGAGAGCCTTGTGACAGAGCTCAGAATCCCAGCCACCACACTCCTACTTACCTTTTCAACGTGACAGGCTTGCTTTTTTCTGCTTCCTCTCTCAGATGCTTCACCAATATATCTCCATACTGGCAAATGATGGGGAACATCTACACAAAACACACCACCACGTATTGGTAAATAAGGAGACTTAAGACCCAGAAAGACCTGACTTTCCCAAGCAGGGAGCTATAAAGAACATTTTGTCATGAACCTTAAGATGTCTCTTCTAGGACATAAAGATAAAAGGTCATTTTTAGGAAGTTCAAACTCAGCTGACTGCCCCTTGCAGAGGGACTTTCCTTTCTACTGGTCCCCAGACTGTTGCCTTGAGTGTCTAATCAGCAGTGCTCCTGTCTTCTTACCTCTTTGAGTTTCCCACTGGTGAAGGTTGGAGACAGCAATGTTCGTAGTCTCTTCCACTCTTCATCCTCAGCAATGGAAATGGAATGTTTCATAAATCCCGATGGACCAACAGCCTAGAATCCAAAGTGAAAAACTTTTGCCTTACATACATTCCCAGATCTGCACAGTTGTAGATAATCTGTTGAATGGACATTAATACTCGACAAATGCTTGGTGACTGTCTTCTAGGCAGCAGACCCCAGGATAGATGTTCAATCAGTATTTATCCCAAGTGCTCCCTGTGACAGTGGACACTAGGCCACCTGCACCCTTTATTTGCCAATCTCCTTTTAAAAGCAAATGTCCACAGTGTAGGTGAATTCCTTTTCCAGGGGCAGAGAGAGGCCTGTGAGGAGCAGAGAGGAATTGTTGGCATAGCCAGATGACCTTGACTCAGACCTGTTCTGTTTCTGCATATACCTATAGCATGATCAACTTGCAAAATGAGATGCTTTGTTAATCAACTTTTAAAAAATGATAGCGTAAAGTAAATAATACTTAAAAAATTAAGAATCCAAAGATGGAGGAATAGGCAGACAAGCAACACAGACTCTCTTCAACAAAGAAAAGAAAAATCAGTTGACAGAGATACAGAAGATAATCCTGGAGCCCTGAGTTTTGAAAGGAACGATACAGAAATGGATTAGGCACCAACTAGTGGACAAACTTGAACGGAAACAGTGAGTACAGAGACAGTCAGAGCTGCAGACTGTCAGCTACTCTGATATCAGAGACCAACAGCCTGAATATTTCCAAGTGGTGTTGGGACCTGAGAATTGACGTAAAGATCAGTCTCAGTCACCAATGGCTGCAGGGACGACTGTGCTGGTGGCCTATGACTAGGAAGGGAAGCAGCAAGGAGGGAGACAACCTGAGCTGTTGACTTAGCGCTTTCCGGAGGACCCAGCCATTTTGATTGTTTACAGGCGGCACCCATTTTGGATATTTAAAGTGACCAAGGGTGCAGCCATTTTGAATCTTTACAAGTCGCAACCATTTTGGATTTTAAAGTGATAGCATTCTCATTTGGATTCCAGGGACCTAAGAATAGGCTCTGTTTTGCCAGGGTTGGCAGGGACATATGAGAGGCTGACAACAGGAAAGGAGAGAGGTGGTGAGTGTGTAAGCGCTGTCAATAGCGAATAGCGGAGCACAGTACCCTGCTTGTGTAGATAACATACAAAGAAAACAAAAATCATGGACAAGTCACTCCAACATATAATCACCAATTAAATACAAACACAAAAACATCACAATGTCTCGGAGACAACAGAGCATCACAGTCCACACAAAGAAGCAAGATAAAACAGGAAAAACAAGGGACCAGGATACAGACCCAAAACACATCCCTGAGGAAGACACAGCATTGGAACTCCCTGATGAGGAATTCAAAAGAATTATATTTAGGTATCTTCAGCGAATTGAGAGACAGGTCAAGGAAAACACAGAGAAAACCCTAGAACAATTTTGAAAGACAATACAAGAACAAAAT